TGCTCGAGACAGTCTACTGGCACAATGTCACTCCCAAGGAAAGTCTTTCATCTTCCACAGCACCCAACAACATGCTGCATAGGTACCACATCTGGGTACAAAACATCGACTCCATGCCCTCACTTGAACTGCAAAATGTTCAAGGGGCATACAAAGAAGGGGGACATCATCTGGGTAAAGACTCCACATGGTAGAGGCATGAATAAATTAAAAATGGGCTGCATAAACCAAGTAATCAGTCTGCAGTTGGTGTAGATTTATGGAACACTGTGGCGCGTGATGAAATTGCGCACTTTTCTGGGATCATATCCATCATCAGACTCTGATAGTGACACAAAAGAGTGAACAATTCATGTACTTAGAATTGAGTTCGCCAGTTGATTCCTCCAATACCAGCAGTTCAGAGACTGATACCGGAGCACCCAATGACCTTCCAATCAGTAGTTCATCTGAGTTCCTCTTTAAAGGAGTACCTGACAGAAGAGACCTGCCCCAGAATGCATCAGCTGTGATCAGGAGATCAGGAGGAAGTGTAGCAGAGACTTACCTTCATGACCCAGAGTTGCGTGTGTGTTTTGCAGTGGAGTGTGGAGATGGTGAATTGGCGAGCTTTGGACTGAAGGTGAATCAAGCAGCACTTTGCGGGGATGGAAGGTGGTGGTGGTGTTGCACAGTATGCTCATTTAAGGAGGGTCTTGTTTCTGCTGACAACGAGTGGCATATTTGAGATTGAGAAACTAAGAGAATTGTGAATTTGTTTTGCCGATTGGACCTATTGGACTTTCATATAGTTTTTTTTCCCCATGTGTGCTTCTGACCAATTTTGACTTAAGTTTCTCAAACTCAGCTTTTACATGGTAGTCCATGCATATTTGTGATTTTTCTACCATCTTACTAAATATCTCCACTTGAGAGCTGCTGATTTTTTTATGCATGGACCTAATATGACTTTGTTAACCCTTTAGCCTCCTCTGTGGATTGCTATACCATGCTAGGTGTTGCTCTTGTGGTTTCTGTAGCAAATAGGTTTTTTACAAGGTGAAGCTGCTACCTACACACACACTCTGAATTCAGAGATGCTAACCAAGGCTAGAGAGTCCAGTTTACCCTACTCTTATCTTGGGAGAGAAGAGATGGGTTCATACCTTTCCAGTGCTATTTGTAAAAAAGGGATTGCAACAACCTTGACTGGAATTTGAACTTGACACCCCAATCTCATTTTCCAAGTTGATTACCACAATGCTACACGTCCATCCAACCTAATATGACTGCCATGGTTATTTCTTTTCTTCTCTTTCATAATTTTCTACAACTGTTATATCAGTCTTTTACTGTTTTTTACCTGTACATTTTCTTTTTCCTGTAATTATGTTGTACAAATTGTCCACCTGGCGGAATTACCAAGTTCAAACAGAGCCACTCTTACAGTTATTCTGCAACAATGCATCTATTCCAGTTTATAACTGTACAATTTTAAAAAGTGTTGAGTCAGATGGATGCAATAGCATTTAGATAAATTTTACGTGTTCCTGGTGTGTCACATCTATTCTAAACAGAATATTTATATAAAAATTAATAGTTATTTTACTTTATAATAATTTTGTACATTTTTCAATTTTATAACCCAGATAGTATGTTTTTTATGTAACATAGGTGCCTCCACAAAATTGCTAAAAACTCAGCATACTGTGATGAAAACAGTTTTATCATCAAAATCTTTGTTATTATTAAGTAGAAGGATCAAAGTAGTTTTTGAATATTTAATTCAATTTTTACTCCTTTTTAGAATATTTGAAATTTTGATTAAAAAAACTTGTGCCAGCAGTTGTACTAATTTTAGCATCGCAAATTTTAGTCTCTTCTGTGTGCTGACAGACATATTTGTTATATAGGAATAAAGTGTCGCTGCCAACACTTGAGTTTGGACATAGATCACCAGTGAGTAAACACAGGTGATCCTATTATTGAATTAAATAGTGACCATAGAGAAAATGTATTTATGGGAGGTAGTGTGTGTCTAATTGATTGTTATTTCTATTCTATCCTCTATTACTATTCGGATCACTACTTCTGTTCTATCCTCTATTACTATACGGACCACTATTCAATATACTATTTCTCTTTTCGGATCACTATATGGATTACTATTCAAGTAAGTATTATTGAGTGAATACTATTAGTGCAAGTGCTATTCGAAGGCATCTGACACCAGTATTGCATACTATAGTTGTATCTGTGATTACAAAGTCTGTACTACAATGAGCATTCACGAAAGTGGCAATGAGTGTTCGTTGACATCACAAAACATTAATTTGGAAATTCTTGTAAAAATCAAATATCAGATTTTAATTAAATTTTCAGGACTTATTCACAAATGAATTAAATTATTTTTTATTTATTTTATTTTTTATTAGAAAATCTTAGTAAAGTTATTTTTTTACATGTGTTTCACCCCTTGTTTAATTTTATGAAAGCTTGAGAAATTCAATAGGATAATTTTTAGTGAGTATATTAGTTAAAATCAGATATATTAGTTAAAAGTTCTAGGAGAATGGACCAGTATACCAATAGATAAACTGATGGAGATGCTGACTTTCTGTATGCAAACAATATACTTCGGAATGGGATCAAATATATATCAACAGGATGAGGGCTTAGCAAAGGACTCACCATTACCAACAGTAATGGCAAACCTATATATGAAATACTTTGAGGAAATGGCATTAGAATCAACACCACTAAGGCCAACCCTATGACTGAGATATGTAGATGAGACCTTTATACTCTGGCCACACCAGGAAGACGTCCAGCTACTCCTGGACCATGTGAACTCAATAAGATCATTGATACAGTTCACAATGGAGCAAGAAAACAACAACAACAAACTTGCCTTTCTGGATGTACTCATATCTCAGAGTAGGGGTTCAAGACATCCATATACTGCAAGCCAGCATTCACCAGACAATACCTCAACTTTGACTCCCACCATCTATACAGTGTAAAGAAAGGGATCATCTGCTGCTTACAACATCAAGCAAAAGTTATAAGTGGTGACCCAGAAACATACCAACACGAAATGGTCAGTATAAGCAGTAGCCTACAATGTAACAACTACCTGGGTACATAGTAGCAGCTCCAACAAACTGGAATAGACAGGTACAAGAGGATAACAGCACTCAGAAAACAGTCTGTCTACCCTATGTGAAGGGATTATTGGAGAAAATACAAAGGATCTGTAGTCCATATAACATTGGGACAATCTTCAAAAGTGGTTCAACACTTCACAATCACCTCTTCCAAGTAAGACCCCCCCATAGAGGAGAACATGACTAAGGACTGTGTGTACACCATCCCGTGTAGCTGTGATAGGAAATACAAAGGAGAAACAGGCTGCACCCTTAAGGTAAGGCTGCAAGAAATAGAAAAATCAAACATAGCTGACCACATGTGGAGGGAAAAGGGTGATCACATCCTCCTGTGGGATGAGGTTGAAATAATAGACAGAGAGCATCACTGGAAAATACAAAAACTTAAGGAATCAGCACATATGTTATGCCACAAAAATCTCCTGAGTCGATCAAACGTAGATATATGCAATATGGGAACCAGTAATAAGGAGAGTTAGTGAAAAACAATGAATAAAACAAAAATTGCAATATAAGCAATATGAAATGATAATAACAGAAAAATTGCAATATGAGCACTGGTAAAAAAGGTTGCTGAAACATTAGGTTTATAAGTCCAAAAAATTAATACATAGATATCCTCAAGGACACATGGCCCAGTGGATAAAGACGTTGGTTAGATCCAGTGACTAGACCCAAAGAGTGAGTTCGATACTTTGAGAGTTGAGTTAAAGGGAAATAACTGAGACATCCGGAAGAGGCATGGCATGTAGAACTAGAACAATCCACTCCTCGTGGATGAAAAAAAATGGTTCAATTTGAAATTCCAGTCTTCCTGAAGAAGGCCGGAGCATACAATGGTCAAAATGTTGTGAATATGACAATGAAGATGGGGATAACAGTCTGAATAATGTAAGTAATCATAATACCTCATCTCAGAGATATAGATAAAGCTTTTTCATTTATAAAATTAATTTTAAACTTTGTGTATACCAAATTCATGGAGGTACCTAATGTAACATAATTTAGAAATGTCTTGTTTCTGTGTATATATATATATATATATATATATATATATATATATATATAGATTGTGTGATGTATATATAAATATATATATTTAATTTTGATATATATATATACTGCACTCTTTATAAAAGAGAAGATTTAAAATCTAGATGGTTAACATCTAGATGGTTCGTAATCGGAAGTACAAATAAAACCAAAATTAGAAGATTCATCTAATATAACAAATGTTTTTGTTTCAATAGTTTTTTTATAAGATTACAAATTTTTAATAGATAAACTAAAAATTTTAAGCTTTTGTTTGCCATAAGAAATATCCCTATATAGCTGCTTATCCATTAAAAACAAACAAAAAACTGGATAATTAAAGTGATTAGTAGATTCATTAAAGATTAGGGAAAAATGTAAAACAGTTATTTTGTGGATATTACATCAGCCATTGTCTAAAGATTTTCTATTTTCAAAACATTAGTAAAATAACTCTGAATCTCTAGAAATCAACAAGTTCATTTGAGTGCTTCAGTTTGCATAAATGGTCTTAAGACAGCTAAAACTTAATACCATCTCCAAATGTATAAATAATTTTTTATCCTGATTGAAATATAAATTGGGTTAATTTTGAGAGACTTTTTATGTCTGTATTGTAACAGATAATCTTTACAGCAATAACAAAAATAAAATATTAAATTCTTAAAGAATTGATAAGAAAATTTCCAGTTGTAACAATTGCAAATAATTATTTATCTCCAACTTATGGAGTTTAGTTTTGAATATTAAATCTTAAATGTTTTTGAGAATTTTATTAAACCATATTGATTTATATTTTACATATTCTTTATTAATTTTCAGCCATGGGAGTGAATAATCTGTGGTCAGTACTTGCACCTGTCAAGAAGCACAAACGTCTTGAAAGTTTACAAGGTCAAATATTAGCTGTTGACCTTAGTCTATGGATTTGTGAAAGTCAGGCAGTGAAACAGATGCAAGGAAATGTCATTAAACCATTTCTCAGGTATAGTTGAAAAGTGTTTATGTACAAGGTGTATCCAAAATGAAAAATGTTTAAAACAGTGTGCTAATTATATGGTGATTTTCTAAGCATTGCTTAGACATGGCACAGGGCTGACAGTATGGGACACCCAGTGAAGATCAATCTCACTATTCAGTCATAATTGTTCTAGCTTGCTAAACTTTACACCACGTTGAGGTGTCCAATGTGCCAATTATGTTTTGGCATATTTATGACTGAAATGTTGTGTGGAAATGACCTTGAACTTTTGTATAGAATAATTGTACTATGCCATGTCAGTTGAGCTAAATACACATGTTTATTTTTCCCCCCAATGAAGGATCTTGAAAAGTAATGTTTTTGTGTGAAATTCTGTTTCAAATTAAGAAAAATATTTCTGGAGACATTTCTCATGTTGCAACAGATCTGTGAGGAATATTGTTTGAAGTATAAAAAATGTCACAAGTAATACCAGAATTTCAAAAGATTATCTCAAATATAGACACTGCTTCATATTGGTAGATAACAATCTCGTTGAGAAAATGTATGCTGTGACCTGTGGAAATTGTTGCCTGACTGCCAGGGAAGTTTTTGAAAAGGTAAAATTTATGCCACTTCTGTTGGTAAATGAACAAAAGCAAAACTATGTCACAGGCTGGAATTGGTTAATCATGTGAATGCTAATGAAAATTTTTAAAAAGTGTCATATCAGTTGATGAAATGTGAGTGTATAAATATGAAGTTGAAGCAAAAAGCAGTGAATAAAGTGGATTGAAATATTACAGTAATCAAAAAAAATTTGGACAATGTGCAGTTGTTTTTTTTTTTTGTTTTTATTGGAATAATCTTGTTCATTGTGTGAGTTCACAACAGGTGGTCAATAAAGAGTTTACTTGGTTATCTTGAAATATTTGAAAAATGCACTGTGAAGTCCTGAACAAACAAAACCTGGATACTGCACACACATTGCACTTGATCTATGTAATTTTGAACAACTCTTTATTTAATCAATGGGAGTAAATTGTCCTCATTCCACTATCTAGGACTAGGGATATCTTGTTCTTTTTAATACTAATCAGTTATTGCTAGATTATTCTTACACATAGCATGCTTAGGAAATATTTCATATCATTTAAAGCCTACAAGTCTTATTCATCTTTGTGTCATATGTCCATTTCTTCTACTGAACCAAGGTATAACTGACCTTTTAGCATTAGACACAGACATTGAACTTACAACTTCCAAGGAACTAGATATGTTTTATATCATCATAGAAGTCCTTCAAAGTCCAAAAGAGACAAATGTGTTACATGATCAGCATCTGGGGGCCTGCATATGACTTCTGTGACCAAATTTGAATGCACAGATATGGCTGTATTAGGGCAAAAGCAAACACCTTACTATATTTTTTTTTATTTTTTATTTTTTTTTGGCTTTACCTACAAGCACTTCATGTATCAGTTGGCTTGGAAGTTGTTTACTACCTTGGAGCATAGTCAATCAACAGCAGTGTGTTCATGTTTGTGAGGCTGTCCACTTCAGGTTTAACTTGAGATTGTCTTTGTACCTATTCCTTGAGCAACCTCAGACACAGCTGTCCCCATTCCAGTTATCTGTAGGACAACTGTTGTGGTATTCTGAATTTTTCCATGTGGTTGAATTCAATCAAAATCTTGGCTTTAGTGCTTGTGGAATTGACTCAATCCAGAAATGTTAAGCTGAAAATACAGTTTTACTAGCAGATTTGTATGATTGATCACAGAATACAAATGTGAAAATTTTCAATACAGTGTCCAGGTTTTACAATCATAGAAGTGATTAGGGGCATGGTAGATTATCAGTTTTGTAGAAAGGCAAATAACTTTGTGCTGCAGAACTTTAACCTAGAACCTTCCAAGTTTCTGGTTTGCTGTCTGAATCCATGACATAATTTCCTTAGGAAGGACACTATTGACAGAGATGGTACTCCCCAGGTATTTGCAGTTGTCAATATTCTGTAGTTTTGTGTTGCTTATAGTAATGTATAGGTGTAATGGTGTGTGCTGTTAGGGACACAGACTACAGGAGGACTTCTGTTTTACTGAGACAGACTGTCAAGAACAAATTTATTGTCAGTAGAGAATTTTGGTGTATAATGAGAGTGCAAATAGCACTTTTATGAACTTCTCAAGGGACTTTGTGTGTGCTGCAAAGTTATGTAGATCAAATGTTGGCCCATAGAACATTTTTTATTATGGCTTTACTACTGGAAAGTTGTCTGCTCAAGTTACCAGTTTGGCAATGTATAATATTTGCATGGATCTGCATTACAATGAGATAATTCATTTTCTAATTTCAACAGCAGACTTTTCAGGAGAACTAACACTCACTGACAGAAGTTACAAAAAGGAAGTATGTACATGTATTACTAGATAAAGCATTGTCAGTTATTAATTTTTCTAATTTACTGTTGCAATTACCTTTTTATTCCCATTTCTTTTTTCATTAAAGCTCACATATATTATTATTTATTAATAAATTTTGACTTGTGTTTTATTTATGTTGCTTTTTATCATAACTCTGAGATTGTTTATTCTGCAGTATGACACAGGTCTAAAAAGATTTGATTTCACATCCTTTTTCCTTGAGAAGCTTGCCTATCCAGGACAGCGTCTGTACCAGTTATGCCATAAAGATTATTGGTTACAAAAGCTCAAATCTAAACATATAATTTTCATTGTTTATTTTCCTCTAGATACTGGATCATCTTTGTTTTTAATGCTTACATACACTATTAATATTAGTAGTAATATTACATGGAATTTATTATTCAATTATTAATTTTTATTTCCAATCCATCCTGCACACTAAGACTAAAGAACAATAATCTGAATGTTGTGATAAAAAAGCAACATAATTAAAATTAATTAAATGTTCAAAAAAAATAATAACTTTAATATGTTATCATTTCTTGCATGAATTGATTCTTCTTTTAAACATGCTTACTTAAAAGGATTGGGGGGCGGGGAGAAGAAGAGAAAACACCCAGTCTCTTATCAGAAGGATTATGAAAGGTGCACATTAAAAGAACACAAACTCTTACTTCGATGTGGAATTTATTAAATGGCATAAAAATATAATAATAGAACAGAAACCAACATTTACAAAACGAGCATGAACAAAATGTTCCTTTGTTCATCATACAAATAGGCAAGAAAAGAAGTTCTAATTACAATTTTGTTTGGTTCATAAAAACAATTATAATTAGTATCAACAAAATGTTCACTTACTTTGATTCATTCAACTTGAATGGAGTTGAGAAGGATGGCAAATCCACAATTATTGCTGGTGTCTGGTTTGTTTAGAATACAGTGCAGTTTTATAAACTGAAATGAGATAAATCTTGTATATTCATAAAAAGTTCAAAATCAGGGTTAATACCTCCAATTTTGTGACAAACTTTCACAAACAACTTTAGAAAGATAATCAGATATTTTCTCTAAATTTGTAGAAAGTTATCCTTTCTGCTTTAATAACTTTCTTCTATTAATAAATGTTTTTATAAAAAGAAAGTGTAATAAACAAACTTAGTCTCTTGCATTATTTTTTTTTATTTACCCATTATTTTTACATTTCTTTCTATTATATCATTTTTCATATATTGCCTTTTATCATTATATTTTATTATTTTATTAAATAATGTTGATAGAACATGCACTGCTATGCCTTTTTCTGTTTTCGCTATTTCTTCATTTAAATAATAGACTAGATATTCTTTCAGTTGAACCTCTAAATGGTAAAGTTAAAATATATTTAGAAGGAATGTAGTGCTGGGACCAATAATAATAGAATGTGATTTTATTGTTTCTTTTTATTTCTTTTTTTTTTTCTTTTAGAAACCTGTTTTTCAGGGTTAATCATTTACTTCAACTTGGTATTGGTCTTGTATTTGTAATTGATGGTTGCCCTCCTAAAATGAAGAGGGACACAATACGAAAAAGACTAAATCATGCCCACAGAACTAATGATAACATTGGTGATTGGAAGAAACAGCCTTATCGAAATCGTTTCAATATCTTTTTGAGAGAAGTATACACATTATCAATTTCTGCTTGTGTACATATGCATGTGTATGATGGCTATAAAAAATTACCTATATTTTGCACAATTCACTTATAATGTTTACTATTTCTATACTAAATTCTTGAATTCCTTCTGAGGTTGATAGTTTTTAATGCTGCGAAAGCAAATACCTATTTTACTTTTCACATGTAAATTTAAAAATTTCCAAGAAATCCTTTATTCTCACTTTTTTGTTACATTTAAATTTTTAAGTGTTTCTTATAATATGCTTATAAGCAAATTTATGAAAAAGCAAAAAGAAACAAATCGACATCATTATTTTTATCTGTATTATTACATTTGTGTCAAATGTGTATAACTTTGAAATCATGACTAAAATCGTAAAAATATTCATTTTCAGAAAGTTTAGAATAATGTTATTTTTTTTTCTTTTTTCAGTGCTGCTGTTTATTAGAAAGCTTAGGAATTCCTTACATTGAGAGCTGTGGTGAAGCAGAAGCTTATGCTGCTTTTCTTAATGCACAGGGTGTAAGAATATTTTCTTTTTTTTTGTCAATTCACTTCAAGCAAAGAAATAAAGTCCAGTAGGATGCAAATGTTTACTGAGAGTAAGAAAAACAGAGGGGACAATAAAAGAGCAGGATTTAAGGAGACAAAAGATGACCATTGACATTAAATTTAAATTTTTGAAAATTGTAGTTGACAGGAAAGCAGAGAGCGGGATGAGAGTTCTGTAAGTGAGAGGTGTGTGAGAAGAAACGATGAGCATAGAATTTACAGTTACAAGTAGGTATACCAAACTGCTCTAGTTCACAATGCGAACACATGTCAACATAATGAAGTTTACTTTCATTTCAATTGCTTATATCTTGTTTATTTTCAAGGCTATTTTGATAAAATTAGTATGAAACAAAATTTAATTTTTTCTCTTTCTAAAGGTACAATTCTTTCTATGTCTCTTTAAATTATGTCACTATGTCAATGACAAACAGTAATTTTTCTGTATTTTCAAAGTTGTTAATTTCATAGTGTTTTCATATTATTTGGGCTTCAAATTGTCTGTTTACACATATCTAAATAAGTCTATCTTAAAGGAAAAAGGATGCTCGTCAATTTGATGGGTGAACTTCAAAGTCCAAAGTTGTTTTTCACAAAGAATTTCTAAGTTGAAAGCTTTAGTGGATGAAATAGTAGAGAAATTCAACAATAAAAAAAAAAATAAAATTTATACCTCCTTGTAGAACAATGTCTTGGCTTTAATAATTGGTTGGTTTCATATAGCTGTGTCTATACAACTCTAGGCATATACAAATCAAAACAACGGTATATTTTGTTCATTTTGTGCAAAACAGTTGGGTCTGATACATCAAAATTTGTATTACTGAGTAAACTGAATTGCTAACTGAATCCAATTTTAAATCAGGATTGTTTCTTCAAAGGATATGACACAGTTTAAATCGTTTTTCTTATATTTTCTTAATTGATGCATTTTAAAACTATAAATCATTTATTTATTTTTAAAATAAATTTGAGCTGACAGTTTGAACAAAATAAAACAATATTTTTCTTTGTCCAAGCTGTCAGCTTGAATTGCTGTTGCCTCAGCTATTCTTATTTTATTAAAAAAAAATTATCCGAAATAAGTTTGTCCATAAAATATTTAATAGTCATTTATAAAGCATTGCTATGAACTTACTGAAGAAAACTTTAAAATCCATTTTGAATAATTTAAATATCTCCATTGAAGAAAAATTTTGTTTTTATTTGAACGATAACAGCCTAAAGCCAATTTGAAAAAATAAAATAAAAAAAAAAAAATTTTACGTAGTCACTCATCAAATTTCCATTCTTAATGACAAATGAAATGAAAAAAACTGAAAATCCCTTAACAATCCAGTATTTGGGTTTTTGTAAATTAGTAAAATTAAGGAATTTTGTAAAAATAATACATATTTCTTACTTAAAACATAGTAAAATAATCTTTACTTACACATGGTAACCTGTGAGCTGTCATAACCACAGTAGCCTTCTAATGTTAACACTCAAAAATAGTATTAAACTTTACATTTTTCAATTCTTAAAAGTAAAACATATCTTAATTTAATAGAAAAATCCCATAGTGGAGGAATTTCAGAATTGCAATGAAAAATTACAAGTACATTTTTTAAAAATAGATATTCAATTTAGATTGTTTTGTGTCAAATGTGAAAGAAAATATTTTAAATTATGCAAGTACCAACACCCAATGAAAATGTTGTTTTTTTTTTCTTTTCTTTTTGGGTTTTATTAAATTAATTTTTGGGTATGGTTGATGACAAACTTTCAGTATGTTCAGAAGTTGAACTTCAATATATTTTTTCACTCAAGTAACATTCAGGGATTTTTCTTTCAGATAAATGTAAAAAATTCTCAAACACCCTCAAAATTTCAAAATTTAAATGTGAAATTTTGGCCTGGAACTGACACTAAACAAAAAAAACAGCATGCAACACTTCACCATTTATCAACCTCAAAAATGCTCAAGTGCAACCGGACTATAGCTTGGCTAAAAGTAAAATCAGTATCTGAGTGGCAATCAGTTCTTGACATTTCAAGAAAGCATGTGAAACATCTGCAGCAAAGACAAGCCACAAGAAGTACTTTTGAAAATTCATGTACAGGAAAGGATTGCTAAAAGTGAAAGGCAAAAGAAGGAAAAAGACAGTCAAGCTGTTGCTGAGAAACAAAGAATCATTAACAATGTTATCAAGCATGGTTGTCCTGTGAAGTCTATTAAAAATGTATAACAAGCAGTGATTTGGAAGCACTGGAAAAGCAACTTAGATATCTGTAGATTCTCTTCAGTATCAAGATCAACAACCATCGGAAGTAAATCTCAGCTGGAAGCTGCTTTTTGTAACTACTTAGTAAAAATGCCTGTACATAGATGCATAAATATTTATCTCTAAGTAGTTTTGTTTTTGCAACACTGTTTCTGATAGGTATTAAATCATTTTTTTAAGTCATAGTTAGCAAGTTGAAATATATAATTGTGTTACTAATTATATTCTAGTACATTCCATTTTTGAGATTATAGGGTCATTTGACATCCCTTAACCTATGTTTACTGGGAATACCTGATGGAAGGCATTACCACAGGTCCTTAATGGTGCCCCTATTAACACTATAACAGTGGAAACAGTGCCTTATCTGGGCTCATAACTTAGCATGAAGGACTAATCTGGTGTATAGTGATCTGATGATTCCTGGTTCCAGTGGTTTCAGGCTGATGGTATTGTTTAACAAAATTCTCAGGAGGTCAAGGAACTTAATTGTTAACCAGTTACCATGCAGGCTGGTGGTAATTCTATAAAAGTGTGGGGTATCTTCACATGGCATGGGTTGGGTTCACTAGTCCATCTAAGCAAATCATTGACCGGTGACTGCTATATTTCACTATATCATGACTATTTGTGTCCATTCATAGACGACATATACTCCACTTACAATGGGTTATTACAGCAAGAGAATGCACCATGTTATTGAGTCCAGTTTGCTCAGAATTGGTTTGAGGAGTATTCTGAGGACATCTGTTGAATGGTGTGGCCATCATATTTGTCCAACTTCAATCCAATTGGTGATGATATGATAGGACATAGTGAAGAGGTCTATTTGTACACAAGATCCTGCAATTACAAATATCTGGCAACTGTGGACAGCTATCAAGATACTATGATTCAACAATTTTCCGGAGGTCTTCTGATCACTTGTGGAATCAATACTATATCAAGTTGCTGTCCTTCACTGGGCTAGAGGATTCCTACATAATACTAGACCCCTCTACCTTGAGTTCTGGTATATTATTACTTAATATTTTAACTTTAATATTTTGATTATAGTCTTAGACATAATTCTTATATCCCAGATAACAATTTCATATCAAAGCTTATTTTGTAGATTGTCGATGCTTGTTTGACTAATGACGGAGATGCTTTCTTATATGGAGCCAAAAAAATCTATAGAAATTTCACAATGGATTCAAAAGTAAGTTCAATATTAGTGTTGTCAAACACTGGCTATTCCTTTTTTGATAATATGAAGTATCATTTTTAAATTATTAAAGATTTTATTAGGGAAATCAGCAAAGAAACAATACACAAACTTGTAAACAGTGCATAGATGAAAAATGTAATTCCATCAAGTTAAACACTTACCCTAGATTTAAGATTTTGAATAAAGATTTAAAATTCATTTTTCATTTTTTTTAAATTTTGAGTGTTTTACTAGCTTTTATAACAAATTTACACAAATGCATAATGTGCTAGGTATTTGAGGGCATACTTTTAGCAGGCCATAAATTGAAGGCAGCTTGATACATGTTACATGGCAGTCCATTTTAACATTCTCATTTCTCTTTCAGATGTATCACAAGTATGAACAAGGTAGTTTCCTATTTGACAAAAATAAAAACTTATGCTGTGATCATGGTACTAGCTGCCAAATACAGCTTCCTGAAAGTAGTCAGCTGGAGGCCTTTGGCAACGATTTGTCATCCATGGAAGAAACATTCTAAATGGTCAGACATTGTAGGGCCAGATGTGTTTGTTTTGCTCTAGATCATCAACCATGATCCCAACAAGATGATAATGTTAAGCATCTCCAGATGATGGAATCCTCTATTAGATGTGTGATGCACAAAGACATGATGAGGAGAAGGGCCAGTACATGTACAATAAAATGAGAAAGACTTCACCTTAAACCAAAAACTGAACAGGTGTCAGGTATCTTTGGGTGAACCCCACAGAGATGTACACCAAGTTTGTTATCTGTGGCACTACTGACCCACATCTTCCTGCAGGACCTTAGGATCATTGCCACACCTATGTATGGTATTTTTGATATTGTAGGCAATGCAAGGATACACCGACTGTATTTTTCACACTTTATTATTGGCAGTTTTCTGAAGCCATTTCCCACAATATTCTTAAAAAGATAGGTGTCCATTAATCGATAACAGTATAAGTTTTGTTCTTTATTTGGTTTCACATCATTTAGTGTAGCTATCAATGGGATATTTTAGTTTAAATTCTTCTCTAAGTTTTTCTTTACCACTCTTTAATGTGGATATTTAAGTATCACACTTGACTTGGCTTTCCAGCTTTTTATTAAATTATATTGATTGGATGATAAAGTAGGTGTCTATTTCAAGTTGCTCTTGATTGGTTAAGAGTTTTAGCATTTGTTTTTAAGTGATTTGAAAAATTTTATTGAAATTTTTCTTCTAATTTTCTATGATGACTTCTGTCAATGAATCTATTTTTAAAATCTTCCATTCACTTTACATTTTAGGATCCTCATGTGGAAAGTTACAATATAAAAGATATTGAAAATCAAATTAAATTAAATCGAAGACACCTTGTAGCTTTTGCTTTGCTTGTTGGCTGTGATTATTTACCCAAAGGAGTTCCCAAAATTGGTGTTGAAACAACTCTAAAATTGTTCAAGATTTTTGGTGAAAAGGATGCTTTGTCCAGGTAAGAACTGTTTCTCATGATTTTTGCAAATTAGTAGTTATCAATGTAATGATAATCGACAAGTTATCCCCCTTTTATCGGGCAATTATGTTTGAGGTTTTCTCCCCTAAAAGCAACACACTCTCTCTCATATAAAATGGCTATCTTTATTTCACTTCAATAATTGCTATCTAGCAAGTTTAAAGCTTCAAAAAATCTTCATAGATTCTGTTCACTTGACCTATTTTCAATACAATTTATTCAACTTTAAAATGGAGTATATTATGTATAGTTGGAATGGTTCAACATCAACCCTGATTCTGATACAGCTAGCTAGTGGAAGCATTAGTTACAATCCTTTATGAATTTTATGGCAGCATTAACTGCAGAAACCAAAACCAGCAAACTGTTGACAAACTGTCTCATTATACAAAACTATTAACAATTGTTTGTATCATGACTTACTGAATGCCACCTACATAAGACCTAAAATTGAAATATTTTCACAGCATTCATTAGATGACAAGAAAATAGTGAATCACTGAAGAATTACCTAAAGGAATTAAGAACTCTAAGCAAAGACTGCAATTTCCTCTCAGAAACTGCTGAAGAATTGAAGGATAAAGATATTCTATATTCATTTATCAATGAATCAGAATATTTAGGTAAAACAAAGATGTTTTGAGAATAAAACCCTTGAGAAAAAGCTTTGAAATTAAAACTTGCTCAAAAATATTTTATCTCTTACCTGCAGTCTGCTACTGATGGTATTTATCTGAGTTTATTTACTTTTGTTTCTGCCTCAACTCATTACATTCACCATGTATTTCTTATCAAATACTTCTGCTGTTCAGAAAGCCACAGATTTGTCGGAGTTAGCTCCTCCTTTAGTTCCTTAACCCTTCACCAGGGGTCTCTCTCCTCTGGCTATAAATACTGGGTGACCCTTTGCCTCAATCTCTTTTTTCCCTCAGGCCTTGGACCTTATACCACCTCGCATTGATGAGGTGGGGTAATTCTTTTCTCTTCATTTCAGCTAATATCAATATGTGAGCTCTCACCAATATAGCGTTTCCCAAATTCTGGGAACACGCTAAGAAACAATACCAATACATGTACGTACGAACACTCACCACAATACACACACATAATATTCACCACACAAAATCAATGTAACTGTCCATGTGCTTATAACTTGTTGTTAACCTTGATGGCTACAAAAATGTCTAAATCATGGCCTATTCAGGATAGTTGTCTAGGATCAAACAAATGAGCTACCTTGTAAAAGTTATACACTGGATGGGTATCCAGGTATTTATTCAGTTTTGAAAAAGATGTACTGAAAAAGTATTGGAAATTTGAGATAACTCTCTCCCTCTCTGTGTTTTCTCGTTCAGACAGAAGATGATCAGTTTCTAGGCCAAATGTTGATTTTGATGAACCAGTATGCATCATGTTATATACAACACATGCAACTTCTTGTTAGCTTGTCAAAGCTGTTATTAAATGGGTGCAATTCTCATTTATAAAATTCAGATTTAGATGCAAATTATGATAAGAGGCATGATGATCATCTACTAATTCTAGAATCCTATCTACTGCAAGGCCATGACTCTTTTCTTAATGGTGATAGGGGTTAGAATTCCATCTTATTCCTACTGGTAAGGAACCTTGTTTTTAAGTAAGGAATTTTCCAAGTCGATTTTTTTAAAAAAGGCTGACTTGATGAAAGTAGTCAGATGGGTAACATTATCAAATGTTGGCCACTATGAAAATACTTCACCAACAAGATTTAAAATATGTGTTAAGCACAACACATGGCAACTGTTAACAAAGATATTTGACAACACTTCCTTATGAGCTGTTTTTGCAATAGGCTGCAGAATCTGTTACAAAGGCAATAATATCCTCAAATGCAATATCCACATGAGTTACAGCTCAGATGCATGCCTGACTTACAGTTTGATGATTGCATTCTTGCAAGGTTTACAACATCAATGAGAAATGACTCTCCACGAATGCTTGCAATTACATTCAAAATGCTGTGGACATGACAGTTGTTTCGTCTGTTATAATCCTGACTGATTGATTAGCAAGCTTGGCTTTCAGGGCAGCAAAGTGACAAGCAAACAATTTTAGTAGATGAAGTTGCCTAACTCTATTGACACTTGGAATAGCACTACCTTTAAAAAATTTTAATATGAATGGCCTGATTTTGTCAATTTTGTGTAGGGGAATGTCAGACAAAGTGCACATTTTCAAAAAATCAACGACAAAATCATCTCATACCTTTTTACTCTTCAACAAAGTTGTGATTGTCTTCTGTTTCAGTTGAGCCAACTTTTTTTGAAGACTTTTTTTGTCAAATGAGTTTTTGATTTGAATGTAATCTGTGATTGTGTCAACCCTAAATATGTCAACACTATGGAGACAGAATTTGCAAAATAACATTTTCTTCTGCATAAAAGTCATCAGGAAATGGCTCTTCTCTGGCTTTAGCACAATTCTTAGGTACTGGGATCATTTTCTTGTTTTTTTTTGTTTTTTTTTGTTTTTTAGAGGAGGAGGCCCAACTTTTGAGGTTGATTCATTATATTGACTTGATTCAGTCATCTTGCCTCTTTGCTGCTTATTCATGCAACTGGTTTAGATTACAGAATATAAATAAAATATGAAGGACTAATCATTAATTAATCATTAGTTAATATTATTAATTGATTTTTTGTTCAATTTAAATTTGTTTACAATGGTGAAGCACTGAAGATGCTGCAATTATTAATCTGATGAAATCACTGTGTGACAGTAAGCTTCGGAGTAGATGAGCCAGTCATTTCATAGAATGATGTTTTGAGAATTTTTTTTTTTTTTCATTATTTCTAAATTGTATAGTAGGCACAAGATGACATCCACATGAAAGCCTTTTCTTTGATATTATTTAAAACAAGGTTGAATTTTTGTTTGATGTTTTGGTTTTGTATGATTTGCACTATTTGGCAAAATGAATTTGTTAAAATGTTTGTTTTAGATTTAAATTTATTATAACTGATCCATATACCAAAAATATTTGAAGTTTTTAATATTTAGTAATTCCACATCCTTTTTTTATGATGGTTTCACAATATGTGCAATCACTGCTTGGGTTCTGTGTTTTGAAATAATCCACTTCAGGACATTAGTTGCATCATGAGTAGGTTTTTAGTATAGAACATCATGGATTACTCTAATTCATTGAATGGAGGAGACAACTAAAATTACTCCACTATCTTTCCTGTGAAAAGTCATGATAATTTCTGTCAGAATTTCTAGGTAAATAAATTATCTTTTATTTACATTTGAACTAATGTCAATTTCATATAATATCAAAGATATCAAGTCAATGCAGACAATCTTTTCCATAACTGCATAGTATGTGCTTTGGCAGAGCTACATAGAGTTTTGAGTTTTTGCTTGCGGAAGACCTGTTGCCACCAAAGGCTGTAGAACCCAGTCTGTCCTACTATTTATCCATAGACATGAGGATGCAGTTGATTCATACCTTTTCTAAGGGTAGGTGAATGTCATGAACTAGACTGGAATTCAAACTCGGCTCTCTGATTCCTCAATCCAAGTTGCAAACCATTACTCTATTTATGACTTTTCTAAAATCCTATCTTTGTTATTATTATCACTATGTTTGCACTGTTGTGCTCTCTGGCATTCTTGAGGTGGAAGTCATTCTGGGGTAACCTGAAGAAGATTTGAAGGATAAGCTTTTAGTTCTCATTCCACTGTCAGAGGTATCTCATCTTCTTTTTTCTAGAGCTTTTTGCGGAAGGTTTCTACTCAGTCTAAGCTTCAATTACCCAGCCCAGGGATTGAACTCACAATTACTGTGCCACCAAATTCATGAACCAATGTTTTAATCCACTGATAGATTATCCTGATAATAAAGAAAAGGAAGTTGTGGAGAGCCATGACTATCAAACAAAATTTAAAAAGACAAAATCCCAACTAAGTGGTTATAAGTTAGTTTAGTCTGGTACAAGTGGAGAAACACAGTGAGGATTGAACTCAAAATATTCGTAATACTTAGTCTAGCTCAAAGCCCCACATTGAAGCAGGGATTTATTTAGCATAAAGTAATCTGACACAAGGATATTATGGTGGAGTTGATGACTGATGTTGCAGTTGACCAAACCATGATGAGTACGACACATACAGTTCTTTGACATTTTAATGCCCTGCTCATGGAAATATATTGGTCGAGACACCTTTCGTTTTAGAGTTAATAGGTAAATAAAAAAAAAAAAAAAGATTCAAAATTTGAAGTATTATAAAAATTAACCAACCTCCATTCAAACCATTTACAGTACATTTTCATGGTAGAATCATTTTTAGGTACATCAGAATGGTGTAATGGTTAATGAAGCTAGTCTGATTGGATATTACCACTGAGCAATGTGTTTGATCCTCACTAGGTGCCCCATACAAAAAATCCAACATTAAATGACCCAACAAAGGTTGACAAAAATTCAGGAATAGAATAAGAGAAGAAATAAATCTTGTATATGGAAATATTTTTTTATAAGAAAAGTTTTTTTTTTTCTTCTGTAAGCATACTTATACCATTTATAAAGAAATTGTCTATACTGTCATAGCAGTGGCATATCCAAGTCTTTGCTGCCTGGGGCAGATCTTGTGTTTGCTGCACCCTGACCTCCACAGTTACTCAGTTTTAAAGCTATAGCTTATATATATTATATATAGCTTTTTTTTTATTTTATCTTTCTGGTCTGGAAATAAAGATTCTATATTCTGAGATTATATATATATATATATATATATATATATATATATATACTACCAGTAGAGCCCGGTGTTGCCTGGGAATGTAACAGTAAGAGATAGATCAAGTATCGACCATCATAAAGACTGAAAAATAAAATTGACAAAATTATTGTTTAAGGTTGACGGACACGCATGTCTTAATTAGTTTTAGAGTTTTTTTTTTTTTACGAATTGTCAAACTCAAACAAAAACAT